GAGACAGAGCAGGCAATCAGGAAGCCGGGGGGGGGGGGGGGGGGTTGGTCTGTAGTACAAATGGTTGTCAGTGAGGTGCTGCCATTTTTAAAAGTCTAGCAATGATATGTTGCTTGTTACCATTTGCAAAATATGCATCTTCTGATGTTACTGATTCCACCAAGGAGTGGCACCTTGCCTTCAAGGTGAATGTGTCCAAAATACCCTTGAGAACACACCAGCATGAGAAATCTCAGTACATTCAATTTGGGGACATCATTTAAAAACTGGAGAAAATACAGAGCTGCTATCTATAAAAACCAATCAGTTTTTTCTTTGTCAATGAAAGATCAATCAAGAAATTCGACTGGTTACTAGAGTTCACAGCCCCATGTTGCTTAGGTTTGCTCATAAATGTCCAGGGGTGGGATCCATTCAGAAAAGGATGGACGGTCACCTCTGTCCAGGCCTGCTCTGCCTCCCACCCTCGCCATCCTGTTGTTTTTTACATCTACCTTTTTACGTTTTTGATTGGGGTGAATTTAGATTTTGCATACTTGTAAATTATGCTGTGACTTCAAAAAGTTTGAGAAACACTGGTAGAGTAGCAGGGGCGTAACTAGAAATCACCGGGCCCCATAGCAAAATTTTGTATGGGGCCCCGTGATTGCTAGTTATGCCACTTGCAGAGCCCACCTGATATATCAAACAGCCCACCTGAGAGTGACCCTGCAGAGCCCACCATAGACTCTCTATAGTGGGCTCTGCAGGGTCTCAGATGGGCTGCAAATCTCTTACCTTTCAGCGATGTCCGCCTCCGTGGTCGCCGGGCCCCGCCTCCTCTTACATCACTGGCCCCACCTGCTCTTACGTCGCTGGCCAGTGATGTAAGAGGAGGCGGGGTTTGCTCTTAGGCGGGCCCAGCCTCCTCCTTCGCTGCAAACTCCGGTGTAACCGGCCTCTTCTGCTGTAGCTGCTGGCTGTCACTGACACAGCTCCGCAACGGCTGTGAGGGGAAACGCCGCTGGGTCGCTATGGCGATTGTTACGCCACTGTAGAGTAGTATAGCTTAGCACTGCATTACCATGAATACATAACAATGCACTTTATAGGGTTGTAACAGTTTTGTAATACAGCTATTCCTCACTTAACAACCTACCTGTTTAATGACCGCTCAGACTTACAACCAGCTCTCCGACCAGTTGGTATTGTACACTGTACGAGAAGTTGGGTGAAGCTCGTCTTACATCACCCTTTCTCAGTCTATTTCTCGTTCCCGCAGTTGGTCAGTCAGTCAGTATTCACTACTGTACTGTACATTGGTATTTGCAGTATGCAAATCTAAGTCATGCACTGTATATTAGAGCCGATTTCCTCTATGCCTCACTTAGTGACCAGTTCGCTTAACGACCTAGTCGTAGGAACGGAACTCGCTCATTAAGTGAGGAATGTCTGTAGTGCATATAAAATGTTTTGAAACATTTTCCAGCACTGAAGAAAACAGACCTTTGCAAAGAAAATAAGAAGTAGCAAAATGTGTTTCTTGCTTGTTTATGCATTTAAATGTAAAATATAATTTAAAGGCATGTTAAACTAACATTTATTTCCCATCTATGGACCAAATTTGTTTTTTTATGCATTTAAATGAAAAATAAAATTTAAAGGCATGATAAACTAACATCTATTTCCCATCTATGGACCAAATTTGTTTTTTTTTATGCATTTAAATGTAAAATATAATTTAAAGGCATGATAAACTAACATCCTTTATTTTAATACAAGTTAAGGTGTTTATGTATTTTAATGTAAAATATAAATCAAAGGCATGCTAGACTAACATTTCTTTCCCATCTATAGACCATATTTATAATTTTTATACAAGTAAAATGTATGCATTTAAATATAAACTACAAATCAGAAGCATTAAAGAAATGTATTTGTGTACACAAGAAGCCAGATACACTGCACTGGATCTGCTGTCATTCTTGATGTCTTGCTACATGCCAGGGTCTGGGAGATTGACTTGGCATGTGTTCCAGGGCTGCCATGTGACAGTGCTAAAAACAGTCAATGGGCAGAGCTGAAGACACTTTCCATATTTAGTCACTCACAGCTGCCTGTCCCATGTCACCAAGAGACCACCCCAAAGACTCGCATTCTGTCCAAGCCCATCATGGCTCACGTGCTCTACTATTTAAACTTGGCTAATTCTAAAACGTGTCCATCACTTGACCTTTTACCTGCATGTCCTTTATCTACCACTGCACCCATACAATCAATGGGCAATGCAATGGGTACCAAACGTGACCAATCCAGTTAGTAGTGATATAGCCCATGCAGATCTATACATGAAACTCATGAATGATCTATAGCAGTGCAATCCCCTGCTGTGAACCCAACCAGTGAACACACACAGATATCAATGTGATCCAAGGCATGAACTTACCTGCAGCAGAAGTTTCACTCTTTCAATAGGAGCAACAGCAGTCTTGGAAATAGCTGCAGCAATACCACCAGCTAAAAAGTCCTTGAGGAAGCTGATAGCTTGGTCACCCATCTTGGAAGTGTCTGAGATGAAGCACCTGCTTCTTTCCTATGTAAGTATATCCTTCCCCTACACAGCTCCCTGCCTGCTGTACCAGCCAAAATAGGACGACTGTCAGAATGAGTCCTCTTTATAAAGACACCGGATCCCCCCAGGGGTGGGCTCCCCACCACTGCCTCCTATTGGCTGCTATGCCCAGATCAGAGGGCATAGGGGGCAAGGCAGCCATATTGCCTAATGGAGACCCCCATGCAACTGATGCTGATAGGGACATTTAAAGGACATTATAAAGTTATCTGGTCCTGAGTGAAGAACATCATGTCCCTACAATATTAATAGCCAGGGAAGAATGCGGAGAGAGTATGGAGACAGAGAGCAGCCTGAATGCCATCCATAGTCATAGGATCGCAGCTGCTACAATCACAGCAGAGTGGAAGACAAAGCTGCTATGTGTAGCTGTAGTTAGATTTGTGATAAAATGAGATTGGGTATATGTTATGGCTGTTATGTGAACCCTGGTCCTGGATTTAGTCCAGCGATCGTCTCAGCCCACGTCCTGTCATTAGCAATGTCCTGCAATGACAGCTGCAGGACTGGCCGCACAGAGTCATGGACAAAGTTCCAGCACTGTGTGCAGCAAGCCATCCTGTCATGGTCAGTGAATGTGTGATGCCAGTACACAGCCCGATCTTTATTATTTCATCCTAAAACAAAAGCATGGACTAGAGGTGATAGGAGCTGCACGAGTCACCTTCACATCCACTTCTGACTGACCTGGCAGAGCCGGCTATAGACGTCACTATAGGCATCATGTGACACTTGGGTGACAGGAGGGGACAAGCTGCTACTAGGACTTCACAGGACCCAGAAATAAAGTCACACATGACACAGTCCCAATGGGAGAGTACTCACAGGCTTTTCCATCGCATGCTGTCTGCTGAACACATGTCCTCTGTGCCAAGGTTGCCAGGAAAATTCAAAAGACATGCACACTCCTCAACTGTCTGCAGAAAAAAATACTATTGGCTTGAAAAACGCTGCAAACGCACCACAACAAACGATAAAAACATGCATGATCCCCTTTTTTTTTTAAATGTAGCGTCCGGTATGTGCATTGTAGTGCGCCGCAGTGCGTCTTGCATATATACATTTTTCGGGGTACTGCTTAAGCACATTTATCACTTCTAGATGTTCCCTATTAGAAACCTTCAGTGTTGAGTTCAGTTCTACCTAGGATAGTCACAGCAAGTGCGGAGCAGATGCAGAGCAATTAAAGATTGGATCAAAAATGCATCCAATGTATTCCAATCGTATTTTGGGCTCTAGTTCACACCACAGCGTTCAGTTCCAGAGCATGTGAAAAAACTGCTGCATGCCCTATTTCTTCCTGCTCTGGAACGCACCAAAATGCAAATGCTCTGGACTACACCTGAAAGGCCATTAGGCTAAAAGAAAAAAATGGACCAGAACGGGTAAAAAATTTGTCAAAATGCACTGCACCGCATATGCGGAAAGGCATCCAGATCTGGTCGGGATTTGGTGTTAGCAAGCCCTCAAGCAACTGGCAAAAGCAACAACGCCCTGTAACATTGCTATGCGTTTTGAACACGTATGTCCTTTATCAAGTCATGTTTTAGATGAACCAAACCCGTCTGTCCCTCCTTCCTCCCCTTTTTTGCCACTTAGCAGTCCATATAAATACATACACTACCAAACATGTTTATTTATTGACTTATTACAGACATTTATAGCACCATCAATTTACACAGTGCTTTACGTAGTGCACACTCACACCAGTCCCTGCTCTTAAGGAGCTTACAATCTAAGGTCCCTATCTCACATATACTTGGGACAGCAGATTAAATCCATTTATTGTGTGCACAATAACATCTACCTACTGTGCACCGTCACCATAAACACTTACATTTATTTATTACAGCCAATTATATAGCACCAACAATGTACACAGCACTGTACATTCACATCAGCCCCTGCCCTAAAGGAGCTTACAGTCTAAGGTCCCTATCTCACATACATACAGACACACACTATGTTACCAAAAGTATTGGGACACCCCTCCAAATCATTGGATTCCGGTGTTCTGTGAAATTTCCTTGCTACTAAATATTCCACGGTCAACTGTTAGTGGTATTATAACAAAGTGGAAGCAACTGGGAACAACAGCAGCTCAGACACGAAGTGGTAGGCCACGTAAAATGACAGAGCGGGGTCAGCGCATGCTGAAGTGCACAGTGCACAGAAGTCGCCAACTGTCTGCAGAGTCAATAACTACAGACCTCCAAACTTTGTGTGGCCTTCATATTGGCACAACAACAGTTCGTAGAGAGCTTCATGAAATGGGTTTCCATGGCCGAGCCGCTGCATCCAAGCCTTACATCACCAAGTGCAATGCAAAGCGTCGGATGCAGTGGTGTAAAGCACTCCGCCACTGGACTCTAGGGAAGTGGAGACGTGTTCTCTGGAGTGACGAATCACACTTCTCTGTCTGGCAATCTGATGGACGTGTCTGGATGGCGGATGCCAGGAGAACGATACTTGCCTGACTGCATTGTGCCAAGTGTAAAGTTTGGTGGAGAGGGGATTATGGTGTGGGGGTTGTTTGTCAGGGGTTGGGCTTGGCCCTTTAGTTCCAGTGAAGGGAACTCTTAAGGCATCAGGATACCAAGACATTTTGGACAATTTCATGCTCCCAACTTTGTGGGAACAGTTTGGGGATGGCCCCTTCCTGTTCCAACATGACTGTGCACCAGTGCACAAAGCAAGGTCCATAAAGACATGGATGAGTGAGTTTGGGGTGGAGGAACTTGACTGGCCTG